TTTTTATAAGGAACTGTTTCATTTCTATCATCTGGAAAGAGTCTTCCCTCCGACCATTGACATTATTTATTATCCATGGGACAGTTGGGGTTTCGTTTTTTGGTGATGAGAAATGTTTTGAAACAGATACATTTGTCTTTTTTGTAATAAAATAAAGGTTTACTAAACTTTCTTCAGTCAGATGACCTGCAGTGCAAATCAGTATAGTGTAAAGGGCCTAAAGCTGTAAAAAAAAAAACCCAGTCATTTTGGCACTTTCCTTTAAAACACTCCCGGGTTGTGAGAGAGGGGGAAGACATGCAGCAGAGGTCATCAGGTCATGACTCAAACACGTGACAGCCATGCTGAGGACTAAGGCCTCCATACATGGGGTCGCGCTTTATCCCTGCCTCACTGCCACACCCCAACATTTCAGTTTTTATAGTATTTACTGTGCTCTGTACCTCATAGTTGTTCTCATCCTGCCTTTTGCTTTATTTTGCTGTTTTGAAGTTTCAGGAGAGCTGCACAGGTGCCACACAGTGTTGCTCACTTTTGGATTACATCTGTAGTGCTTGTGTTGATATCAACAAATATTCCCTCCCCAAGCATTCTGGCCACTGTTCCTTCGAAGTATTTTTCAACCATTAAATGTGCATAAGCTCCTTAAAGCAATGCCTGCATCTGTACGGCTGAGCTGAAGAATCCTTCCCCTGTCACCGCATCTAAGCCACTTTGCTCACCTCACCAGGAAGAGAGAGAGACAGAAAAGGAGAGAAAGATGGGGTCGCACTCCGGGATAATAACAGCTGTTAAGATTTTCCAACCAAAAAGAGATTATAGGCCACATTTGGTCTCAAAAGGGGAAAGGGCTATAGCATATTTTAGCTGGGCTGAAAATAATTTAAATATCCTAACAACGAGCATCTGAAGAGTTTGCAAAATCCCAACTCAGCTTAAGCTTTTACATACCCCAGTAAATGTCTGACATTTTGCTGTCGTGCTCTGACTACCTTCTTATGCAACTGCTCCAGGTGAATGTAACCAATGAAGTCTGGGAGCGGGAGAACAACAGTATTCTCTAATGAGAAGGCGTGTCTGTTTCCACTCTTCGCTGCTGGAGAAAGCTTCATATTTAATGACATTCTCCATAGCACACTCAGCACTGTATAGCACACCGTCCATACTTCTTCTTTTCTTATTCTATTACCTGAACTACGCAATGAGTTTATTCTATACCTGACTTGGTTGTGTTTGATATGCATTTATTCTGCACTATGAGAAACACCACTGAGGAAACCTACACAGGGGTTTACTTTAGAACAATGGTATTCATCACTAAAGTGCTCTGGTGTGAATTGTAAGCCCCTGAAGCCATTGTTATACATCAGAATCATCCTGACTATAAAGAGGATGATTTTTTTTTTTTTTTTACCACAGAAGTACAGCATTTCTTTTTTTTTTCTTTTTTTTTTTCTTTGTGGTCTAGCAAAGCGAACAAAACTGTTCTGTAGGTCCTTTTGGAAATTTGGCAATATTTCCAAAAGAAAATGTCCTATTTATATTTGAGACATATTTAAGAGATTTGAAATATTCAACAAAGTAGTTAAGAAAGAGGATAATCAATGTACGGGTATTTTTCCTTTCACATGTGTGAGGAAAGTATTCTCTCAAAATGATCATACGATTGATGACATCAGAAATGTCAGAGTCCAAATTGTGCATGAAATAAAGTACATCCTTAGATGTGGTAAAATGTATATTACAGATCTTAATGAGACCCGAATATCAATATCAGACCAGAAAACATTGACATGTTGGCAACTGAATAGAGGAGCTGTTGTTTCTAGTTCTGTGAAAGTTTTTTTTTAGATTTAGTGTCAAACCAAATGCTCTTGAGAAAGAAAAGACTTTATAAATTGCAATCAAAACCATGTTTTTATTTTTAAGAAACAAAGCTGTGACCTCAGCAAATTAGCAAATTTTAAATTCCCAATTTAGAATGCTTATGCCTTCAACATCTATAATACTTGAGGGAGATGGCTAATAACTCAGCTACAATATTAAACAAAGGACTACTTGAGCATCTGTGGTGAATACCGAAAATATCAAAATTATGATGTTATGTTTTTACATCTACTCGGCTTATCTTTGTTTGAAATCAACATTTTTTGATTATCTAAAACGCCGAGATCTTAAAATACCAACAACATAAAAATCTAACCTAATCTATAGTCTTCGCAGCACCTCACTGCACTGTGTTCCCTGTTTCTACTGTGAGAAACCTGAATAAGACTAAAATGAAATTTAGTAAAAAAGAAAAAAAATAACAACTTGTCCTCATTCCCAGGGTTTTTCAGCTGCTTTGTCAAAAGCCACTTCTTTGCTCGAGTTCTGCACAACGTGTCCTTTGCAAGCAGTGCCATAAAGATCTGGCTATACCTGCCTTGTTAAACAGGCAATATTGTCCACATAAAACAAAAAAAGGGTAGCTGTGCAGCAGGTTATGAAAGACTTGAGACTCCTCTCGATTAAAAACCTTTGTTTGAAATACATTCTTTCACAACACAGACACTAACACATGATGCTGTCTGACACCACAGTTCTCCCTATTTATTTTTTAAGAACATATTGGACTTCAGATTTAATTTGAGTTGCATATTTTTCCGTCTTTCCAATTTGAGGTGGCTAATTGCCCAGTCTAACCAACCAATATAAACTTCCAAGGGTTGAATAGTGCCAACTTCATTTCTTTAAGCTAGACATGCATCGTAGTGTGCTGCTACAAGTCGGAGAAAGTTGTTTTTTTGTTGTTGTTTTTTTTGCACTTCATCATCTAACACTACAGCAAAATTGGATACTGAGGGTGTCAGGCTGTCATTATTTTTTTTTCCACCATCGCAGCTGCTAAGCCTCAAGTATAATGTAGTGTTGTCTCAGGAACTTAGACCTTAAGACAAAGGCACAATGTGAATTCGGGTAAACGTGAGAAGGCATTGTTCCTGTGTTCTAATTAACTGTATCACAGCGGTGCCAAAAATACACCCAAAGACTAATTTATTTGAGGTATGCGAAGATGGAGACGAGGCAATCTTTAGATACCACCCAGATCTGTGGTGAGAAAGACCCTGAAAACCTGCATAAATTACTGCAGTATTTTTGCACAGAAATCCCTCATTCCTCAGTGTAGTGTGACCTAATTCGTTGTACCTGGGGGACCCAGCGGCATCTTTAACTCCCCCTCCGTCTCATATTCAAACTCATGTGAAGGCAAAGCTTTGCAGCAGAGCGCAGACTTTGATGATGTGAAGTGAAATGCAGGTCGCGGTGAAACAAGAAAAGACGTCGTACTTGTGTGGAGTAACTGGGAACTGATTCGAGTTCAAAATTTGTTTGTTTTTGATCCAGCAGCAAACATTCTTCATGACCCCGTCTCTGTACGTCATGTACCGAATGAGCAATGTTTATTGTACTGTTTTCGCTCGTGTGCAATCTTTATGTTTTATATTAAACGACAACAAAGGAGCCCCTGTAAGCAAGTATATGTTCTTCGTCGAGGCTTTGGAGGTGAGAAAACTGAGATTCAACCGTTTGCAGAAAAAACCCGATGCAAATGCAGAAAAACAAAGATTTGCCTATTATCGTCCTTCACTACATGTTTTTATAAAAGATCCAATAATGAATAATCCTTAAACTCTTTATGTCATTATTTTATATAATTCTACCACACACCAGCAATTAGGACTTGAGTTTTAAGCTCAAGTCACTTTTAGGCCACAAAAGCAAAGATGTCAGAGGGTGAAGGGAAGGTGATGGGACTCAATTTATCAAATATTATCCTCTCTGTGGTACAAATTGGGTTGTCCTTGTAACATTTTTGTAAAGTATCTGCATCATACATGTAATGCATGCATGTTGACAGTACCTGTTAAAAGGACTGTGGAATTCAGAACAGGTTAGAGTTGTCTGCTTTTATTTTCTGCTACTGTTCAACTAGGAGTTAGTTAGCATAAGCAAGCCACAGGCCATGGTGACCTTTTCACGTTTCCTGTAATACGGTGTTAATGATCACATGGATATTTTCCAAACTGAGTGCTGCTTTACATTACCTTCAAAAACCAAACTTACTTTCGACATGTTAAGTTCTCAGTGTGAAAATGTTGGAGTGGAGTGGAGGAATAAGGGGGGCTTCTCATTCCGCTCCCCACAAGATGATGCCCTGGGCAGTTGCCCATGTTGCCCGTATCAGAAACCGCCACTGGTGCCCAGTCACAACAGGTGAACTACATTGATAACAACTAATATGACAATGGTAATTTTTTTTTTTTTTCTACTTGAGAATTTGGACACATATAATTGTGATCTTCAAATATTCAAAATATGCAATAAATTTGGAAGGGATGAAGGTAAAATATGGGTTGGTGCATCTATTTTAACAAGGTGTGGCTAAAAAAAATCTCTATCACCGTAAAACTTGAAAACACAGAAAAGAATTTCTCTAAAAGTCTGCTTTCCTCTCAGACTAGTTAAACTGCGTCACTGCAAAAGGTCATTACAGATTTTTTTGTCCACTGATGTGAAAAATGGCTGCCTCCCACAGCTTTAACCTCACTCCTGCAGATCTTTTTTTTTTTTTTTGCCTTTTTGCTTTTCAAATCTATAGGTGATTCAGACTCACATCTTCCACAAATTCTCAGGGGACGCAGAACAAAACCAAATAAATCTAAACATGCACAATATTGTGATCAGAGGCCCACCATTTCTTGTACAACCTTGTTTTTAAGGCTCTTCAAGCTATAATTTGGTTAAAAGAGAATATGCAGCAAGTGAGAAATGTCAATAGTTCATGCAGTGGAGCTTGATGCTTCAGCAGAATAAGTCCCCGAGAGCAAAGGAAGTCTACTTAACATGCTTAACAATACTGCACCTTCCTGAACCAAGCAATAGGAAGGCTGTATAGACTGAGAGCTTGATATGCAGACAGGCATGGCAGGACAACAGCAAGCAATAAACATGCTAATTTAGGAAAGTGTAACAACCACTTATCTGGAGCCAAAAAAATGTCACATCAAAATGGCTCATAGCATTTTCTGCACATCTACAACCAACAGAGAGGCAGGAGCTAGACGCTGCAACAAGCACCGAGGCAGAAGGTTGAGTGTTTAGTTTTTTGCCTTCCACTCACAACTTATAAAATATTAAAGGAATATTTGATTAGAATAACATAATCATCACTTCTGGCATTTACATATAAAGTGTAAACTTTCAATAGAATAATGCCTCTGCCAGAGGACAGGATAATATTGTTTGTGGAAAATATCTGGAGCCTTTTATTTCTTTGGCCCGTCGCTACATAGAGTATGAAAGATGGTGTGCGTGTGTAGGCGTGTGTGTGTGTGTGTGTGTGTGTGTGTGTTTGTAATGTGTGCCTTATTAGAATACAGACAATTTCACTTTGTGAAAAGGAGAGGAAATGTGGAGAAATATTAAACCGGGTATTACCACATACAAGCCAAATGAGGCTTTGCGTTTCTTTAAGGACTTCACTTTCGCATATCATCTATACATATGAGACTAGGTTTCCCGAGTCCGGGTATGTTTAAATCTTTAAAAGTCACTTGGCATTGAGGGAAATTGTATGCTGTAAGCTTTGAAAAATATTTATCTCACTGAGTAGCAAAGCCACAAGTGGTTCTTCTCTGGAGTGAGATATGATAATTCTTTTGTGTTCCCAGCGAGGACATACAACTAGATGAGAATGTTGCTCTTAACCTGGTGATTTGAAAAGAGACGTTTCAGGATTCCAGGAAGAAGCACAAATTATGTCAGATAAATCTTGGGTGATTCTGGAAAAAGCAATTGCAGGATGATGAAATGGCAGCATGATTGCTGGCCATCAGTTTGTTTGTTGTCACTACATTGGCGTTGTCCTTGAAGAAATAAACGGGATCATTGCACACCAGAAGACACTAGAAATTATGCTATAGATTTCTCTTCTGACAGCGAGTATCTGGAGGGTGAGGTCCCAGTAGACCACCACAGTGCCTCCTAATAGAATTGGAAATGTGCCACAAGAAAAAAAAAAAAA